CTCTCTCTCTCTCTCTCTCTCTCTCTCTCTCTCTCTCTCTCTCTCTCATTTGATTTTCTTCTCCTCCACAACTCAGCCTCTTTTACTTTTCTCTACATATGAATTATTTAAAGGTCATTACATCACAGTCGGGCCCGGGCGATACGTTGAATATTCACAATTTATCCGTGATGATTTGTTGGGGGTACAAAGGGAAGATGGCATCGCACATATCGCTGAGAGTTTAATGCTCTTTATGGATTATATTTGAGCGTTTATTAACTTATACGCATTATGCTGCAGAACAGTACTGCATAGCACCAGGATGAATGAAAACACAATGAAACTGCTACGCTGCTCAACTGTTTGCCGTTTTCACTCACAATTAATCACAATTAATTTATTTTTAAAAATCACATTTTATCTTAAATGTGTTTTCCATCTAATTTGATAAACAAGAAGAAGAAGAAGTTCAAAAAAGTTTTCAATAAAGAAAATAAAATTGCACTCATTCTTAGGAGCCTGCAGATACAGCTCTGACCTAACGTGACCATCGTCTCATCGAGCCTCCTGTTGACTCACACACTCTGTCAGGCTCATATGGCTGACATCAGCAGGGGAAGCACAGATTACAATACGTTTGATCGGTTATGACGTTAACTGAAGAACTTTACAACCATTACAATTGGAGTCATTTTGCTTTTCAACCAACCAAAGCTACAGTTGTATGAAAAAGTGTTTGCCCCCTTCCTGATTTCTTATTTTTTTGCATGTTTGTCACACTTAAATGTTTCAGATCATCAAACAAATTTAAATATTAGACAAAGATAACACAAGTAAACACAAAATGCAGTTTTTAAATGAAGGTTTTTATTATTAAGGGGGAAAAAAATCCAAACCTACATGGCCCTGTGTGAAAAAGTGATTGCCCCCTAAACCTAATAACTGGTTGGGCCACCCTTAGCAGCAACAACTGCAATCAAGCGTTTGCAATAACTGGCAATGAGTCTTTTACAGCGCTGTAGAGGAATTTTGGCCCACTCATCTTTGCAGAATTGTTGTAATTCAGCCACATTGGAGGGTTTTCGAGCATGAACCGCCTTTTTAAGGTCATGCCACAGCATCTCAATCGGATTCAGGTCGGGACTTTGACTAGGCCACTCCAAAGTCTTCATTTTGTTTTTCTTAAGCCATTCAGAGGTGGACTTGCTGGTGTGTTTTGGATCATTGTCCTGCTGCAGAACCCAAGTGCGCTTCAGCTTGAGGTCACGAACAGTTGGCCGGATATTCTCCTTCAGGATTTGTTGGTAGACAGCAGAATTCATGGTTCCATTTACCACAGCAAGTCTTCCAGGTCCTGAAGCAGCAAAACAGCCCCAGACCATCACACTACCACCACCATATTTTACTGTTGGTATGATGTTCCTTTTCTGAAATGCCGTTTTACTTTTACGCCAGATGTAATGGGACATACACCTTCCAAAAAGTTCAACTTTTGTCTCGTCACAGAGTATTTTCCCAAAAGTCTTGGGGATCACCAAGATGTTTTCTGGCAAAACTGAGACGAGCCTTTATGTTCTTTTTGCTCAGCAGTGGTTTTCGTCTTGGAACCCTGCCATGCAGGCCATTTTTGCCCAGTCTCTTTCTTATGGTGGAGTCATGAACACTGACCTTAATTGAGGCAAGTGAGGCCTGCAGTTCTTTGGATGTTGTTCTGGGGTCTTTTGTGACCTCTTGGATGAGTAGTCGCTGCGCTCTTGGGGTAATTTTGGTCGGCCGGCCACTCCTGGGAAGGTTCACCACTGTTCCATGTTTTCGCCATTTGTGGATAATGGCTCTCATTGTGGTTCGCTGGAGTCCCAAAGCTTTAGATATGGCTTTGTAACCTTTTCCAGACTGATAGATCTCAATTAATTTGTTTCTCATTTGTTCCTGAATTTCTTTGGATCGCAGCATGATGTCTAGCTTTTGAGGATCTTTTGTTCTACCTCACTTTGTCAGGCAGGTCCTATTTAAGTGATTTCTTGATTGAGAACAGGTGTGGCAGTAATCAGGCCTGGGTGTGGCTAGAGAAATTGAACTCAGCTTTCCAAAGATGTGATAAACCACAGTTAATTTATGTTTTAACAGGGGGGGCAATCACTTTTTCACACAGGGCCATGTAGGTTTGGATTTTTTTCCCTCCTTTATAATAAAAACCTTCATTTAAAAACTGAATTTTGTGTTTACTTGTGTTATCTTTGTCTAATATTTAAATTTGTTTGATGATCTGAAACATTTAAGTGTGACAAACATGCAAAATAATAAGAAATCAGGAAGGGGGCAAACACTTTTTCACACAACTGTAAATAACGTTGATCGTAGAAAAGGTGAGCACAATGTGGAATGTGATCTGGCTTGAAAAACCTATATTCGTATAACTATAAATATGTTAACTAAACAAAAAAAAAGTCAGAGTATTCTGCAGAGGTTAACTTCCTGTTATAGATCTTAGGCGAAACAGCACAAAGCATGGACACATTTTGAGCTAAATGCATCAGCTATAGTCACGTGTATTTTCTCTTTCATGCAGCCCCTTGTGTCTTATGGTTTACTGCGTAATTCAAATGAATTCATTATTAATTCTTACTCTCAGGCTGCTGGACGATTTATAGCCATTATACTCAACATTATTACTCACACGTGTATTGCTACTTCATACGTATGTGTATAAGTATTTAAATCTTGCTTCATGGTTTTACTTTACTGCTATGCACGTGATCTGAATACACAGGTACAATGAAAGCACCCTTACAATTTGGATGTTTCTTTAATGTTTTGTCAGCTGTTGTTTATGTTTTCATATCCTGGCCCTGGGAGCAGTTATACCTCATTCAGGGAATAGTAAAACTTCAACTTCAACACATGCTACAAACATTTTTTGAAATACAAGTAAATGTTAATGAGTGGTTATCTCATCTTTAAACTCCTAAAGTAACGTTACACAATAATGCTACTTCAGTTTATTAAGGATAGCAGCAACCAGAAAGGAAAAAAACAACCGGGTTCAAGCCTCAGCCCTGTTTGTGTTTGTCTCTGTATCAATAAACACACAGTCAGCAGCTGAGCAGTAAACACTGACAGAGGTGAAGCCACGGTCAGCCTCTCAGGTAGCTACACTAACTTGCTACGTAAGATAGCACGCTAACACGTTCCGTTTATCACGACACTTTCACTGTATAAATCGACATAGATGAACGAATTAACCACTATGAAAACCGACTGAATAAGGCCTGTTTTTACCCCTAGCTGATGTGATGTCAGCCGGGGCTAGTTAGTTAGCAGCTAACGCTAGCCTCTCTCTCTCCATCCTTGATCAATGTCACTTTAACACACGATAGAGCTGGTGGCTCGCTCATGTCTTCAGCATCACGTGTCAGTGGATGTATACTGCTAATGTGTGGTGAAACTGGCGCGTTCGCAAGCAATAAAATAGAAATCGAGACTCACCTTACTGTGTTTACCACTATGTCATTTTGACAGTCCGTCGGCGATAAAGTTCCCTGAAGGCAACTGGGGTTACAGGATAAAGGTTCCGTGTAACGTTTCAACCCAAAATGTAGTTTACTCAATGTTAAACATTTATTACATACAATCAATACATTATAGACGTACTTATGAGACAATAAATACATAAAAAATATTTTATTAATCGTTGAATTGCTGTGAATAAATACAGAAGTGACCAGTAAATGGTGAAATAATTCAGTAAATTATTCAAATTCAACTCAAGACAATCTTTTAAATTGTTTATGTTTGTAGGAATTGGGTCACATTTACATGTCACATGTTTTTTTTAAAATGTTTTACCTTCTCTCCTGAAAATATCTTCCTCAGTATAACAAAAGAGAAATAAACTAAATACTTAAAGAAAAAACATATAATGAAATCATTGTTATGGTAATTATTGAGGCATACATGACCAACAAAATAAAATATGTCCTCAATGGTGAAACAACAACATCATCACTGATGTAAAATTATTGTCACAGAGAGGCATATCGGAGTTTGGTTTCATTACTTTGTAGCCATTTCTTTTTCAAAAAAAATTGTTGAAAATATTATGGTGGCATTTTCCCAATTAAGTTTGTGACATGTTGGAAATATGCCAAGACATATCCATTTTTGTTTTATTTTTTC